AAAGAGCAGTGGTGCCTGCCAAATGTCGCTGAAGGTGTGCCTCACAGTTTTCAGATCAAGCAGGACTTGGCAAGGATGCCCATTTTCAAAAGGATGTAGGAGATGCTTCACCAGCATCTCACCACAGGACAACCCCCTCCACGGCCAAGGGCACTGCCCAAATGAAGGTAAACTGAATGAGTCACCTGCTCCCTCTGCTGAAAAATAAAAACAGGCAAGTAGATACTGAGACTCACCCCCACAAATCCTGCCCCCCTGAAAAAGTGCAAATTGTTTGTTCATCTGCCTGGTCATCAGATGCTTTTGGATAGACACTCAGCTTTACCACATCTAAGAAAAGAACCAGCAGATTCAGCAATAACCTTTTCTGTAGCCAAGTTGTGCTTAGTGATACCAAACAGACCCTGAATGGCTGCTTAAGCTCACTACTGTTTCATCAGGATCGTTTTCTAGACTTAATACTGTAGATCTTCAGATTACTAGAAGGCTAAAATATTTACAATGCCCATCTAAGCCTTTTGATTTAACTCTCTGTTTATCTCCTTTCATTTTACTTGTATTGGAAAATCATATTCTCCTTTTTTTTTTTTTTAATAAAGAGTACGCTTCCCAACAATTGCCAAAATCCTACCATAAGTTTTCTTTACTGCATATGAAGACTTTACGATCTTCATTAGCATAACATAGGTAATTTTATTCTGCAGGCTTTAAATGAGAATTTTAATTTTCTTCTTCAGTATCTTTTTTAACTCTTTGTAGAATTCTGCCTGTACCGAATTAACCAATTTTAAACAATCTAAACAATTCCTCTATTAAATTGCAGGTGGGAAGACAAGTCCAATGCTTCTGTTATTTTTCTGTGGATTTCAGCAAGAGAAAATGTAGATAGGAGGTACTTTTGAAAATCCAGAAATGCCTCTAAAATTAGAGTTGTGTGCTCTCAAAATTGGGTTTAAACCTTTTAAAGGTTAGCCTGGAAGAATCACTGGGGAGGTAATAATTACTGAAATTGGACAAAACCCCATGAACTGGTGTGTAAATATATGCTGCAGAAATGAACATGAAAAATTTGAGTTTTGTAGAGCACCGAGAAAGAATATGAGCAATTATGAAAAAAACGCAGAGTCACTTTTTTCCCTAGGTAATCAACAAGAAATTCTTGATTCTAGAAGAAATTAGAGTAAATTTGGTAATGGTTAGTCAACAACTGGGGTGTAAATGACAATTTTATTGATTGCATTGGGCATGTTTGGTTATTTGAAGGAGAGGGATTTTGCTCTTGTATAGGGACAGGGACAGGGACAGATTCAGCTTCAGTGAAGTGAAGAGAGGTCTTTTAGTGAGACCTTGATCCGCCCCTTATTCTCCACAAACATGTTGTTTTTCCTGACCTAAAAATGGCAATTAAGGAACAAAATTTGGAATACAATTGATTTGATTTATTGGATGTTTATCAATTAAGTACATATGCATTGCAAACTTCTATGTCAACAAGGGCTATATCAATGGGCTTTGATAGTTACCTTAACATTAGAAAGTATTTTTCTTTCTTTTTAGAGAGAAATACTAATTTTAACAAGGGTCTGTTTGCTAATTGCTTTCAGAAAAAAAAGACTTTAAAAGATAGTCATGTTTTAGGGATCTGGCTTTTATTGATACTCTATCCCAGCATAATATACTATGTCTGTTAAAAAAAGACATGAAATGATTTTGTGTTTAAATTTATTGTCAGCAGTACATCTGTTATGTAAAAATAACCCAGATGAAAATGTAAGACTTGTTACATTTTCACGTCATCTGTATTAACTGAATAAAGCTTAGTGACAATATACACAAATTTGCAGTAGTTGTACGTAAACATTTTGTGCATTAAAAAAGAAATATACATAATTTAAAAAATAAAAATGCATTACACAATTTACAAATTAACATTAACAAAAAAAAGGTAAACATTCCTCAGACAGCTGCTGCCTCATTCTACAAAATAAATATTCAAGTAAATTAAGTTAGGCAAAATAAACTCTTAACTTTGGGTGAGTACAATTTACATAAAGGTAAAAAGACAGATTTCCATTTTGTTCAAGGTATATTTTACAGTGATTTATACATAAAGTTTTTAAATTGGTCTCTTCAGATTGTAATACTGGAAAACAAACTTTATTACATTTGTGCAGGAGAAAGGGAGTTTCAAAATTGATTTTTTTATACCAAATATAAACAAGCTAGTGCAGTTGCACCAAAGCTTCAAAAAGGAACTGCTCCAGGACTCAAAGCAGACACAATAATCTAGAAACTACAGATTTAAAAAGGAAAATACAAACTACCACATCAACAGGAAAATGTCTACTTTGCTATTTTCCAAATGGTTTATTTGATCACTGGAAACGTTACTTTCACAAACTAACAATCTACTGTAGTGGCTGCTTTAGGCACTGGATTTGTAGAAGCACTCTGATTTTTAAAGCAAATTGCCTTTCATTCCAAACTGATAATTTACTTATTATTTATTTCTGTTTCAACGCTAGTTTAATCACCTTTGCAACTTTTAGCTTTACATACAATTTCAGCCCTTCTTATAGCCTAATATTTTTTTCTTGATAATGAGGGAAGCCATTTTGGCTTCAAATTTCCATGCACTTTGTTCATTAAAAAAAAAAATAGAAATGCACTCTAGATTTTAAATGCAGCACTAGTATGATGCAGATGTGCACCAGCAAAATTCACTGACCAGATATAAAATATTACACATACTAAAATACTTGCATGGATTTCAAAGGCCAAATATACTTAAAAAAGCCTCCTATCTCTTTCTTCATTTGTCCATTTTATATAGTGAGAAAAAGGAGATGGCATACCTTTAACTTCAAGTTATTAAATTCTTAGATTTAGGACATAAAAATCTTCAAGGCAAGAACTAGGCAACAGCTCTTGCTAAGACCAGCCGGTATAATAAATAAAGATGACTCATTGTCAATGAAAGAAACCCTGTTCCCTCAATTCCCTGTTGGTCCAATATTATCTGACAACACAGAATCAGACTTTTAAAAGCACAGAAATCATAATTAAGCTTTGTGTCTCCACATGATAGTTACCATTCTTTAAAACTTTGTAACTTTTCCATGTTATTTTTTGTATGCCTGGCAAAGTAGGAATCAGCTAGGTTTTTCTTGTTTTCTACTCAAGAATGCTGAAGTAATTAAACTCATCAAGATTATTTTTTTTCCTATGGATATTTACAAAGCTATGTAAGACTGAAGCCCCCAGTCCCGCAACACGTATATGAACAAACCACTGCTGTGGCAGGGGACCATGGCACTTCACCTATAAAAGCTATAAAACGAGAAATCAAACCTGTACAAAAGGTTGTTACTATTGTTCCTCTCTGCTCATCATTCCCATTTGGGGAGTACTTCCGTAGCGGGAGGAAGGTAATTTTCTTGATGCAGTACCACCACACTGGTAATGTAAGTTAGCTAAGTTAAAGTACGTCCATAATCTCTCTTGAACATTCACAAAGTGCACATGGTTCCAAGCATTATTCTACATGGAACAAAGGTAGGTATTTTTAAGGACTGATGTTACTGATTGATGTCCATGAGAGTCTTGTCATTGATTTCAGTGGATCTGGGCCAGAGTTTGCAAAGCTACAGTTTTATTCAGTGTGCAAAAACTGGTGCTTCTTGAGTACATAGCGTGATGAGTAGGCAGAAATGGTTTAGGTTATAAAAAAGACCTGAGAACCTAATATTGAACTTTATATAACAATTATTTTTGAGAGGTTGCCTGATGAAGTTTTATATTGCTTAGTAGTGGCACAGTCACTTATATGTTCAGGCTACACACAGAAGCCATTTGATGAGAATAACCCTTCTCAGGTCCTGAATCACATCCATAACAGGCATGTAGATACAGTGGCAACTCAATAAGCTTCATGTAGGAAGCATAACACAAAGGCCATAAGCATGGAAGAGGTTAACAGTGAGTTTTTATACTGCCAGAGTTTTTTAAAAAGTCATGAGTATTAAAATAGCAAAACTATTGATCTTATTGTTTACTTGCCAGTACACTTAAGAGTTTGACTGAATAATTAAAAGAGTCTATCCAATTATCCTAATTAGAAAAGGCAAAAGGGCTCTGAGTATTGCACTGTCAGCAACAGTGAAAACACTCTTACTAGCAGAAGGAAAAAAAGCAAAACCAATTTTTTTTTTTAGTTGAACAAACAATCACAATACCTTTTAGACAGTAAGTTTGTCACTTAGGATTACAGGGCAACCACTTTTCTTTTTCTTTTCTTTTTTTTTTCTAACAAAGTTAACAAATATAAAAAATCTAGTCATAAACAGCCTTCAAAGTACAATTAGAAACCAGCGGGACAATCTATACCAGTATAGGTAGATGGGGCAAGAAACTAGACACTTGTATTACTGCCATGATATAGACTACAAATGGCCGCTGTGATGAGGAACGGTGTGTACAGTGCACATCGTAAGCCGATCCATCCAGCTGCAGTCCAAACCGAACGCCACTCTCTTCAGGATTCCAGACCTGTCTACTTGACACTCCTTGCACAAGATACATCATCATCCTTTCTGAAAAGAGGCAGTTTCTATGGCAATACTAGTTAAGTGCATATCATGCTGCACTAATATAGTGCAAAAATTTGCCTTACACTTAGCAAAAAATATGCAGGCAACAGTTTGAATTAGAGAAAGTAGAAACAGATTGTAACATTTACAACGAGTATTCTTTTTCCAGACAGAAATCGCTAGAAAATACTGAATCTGAGAATGCCTCCTTTCTGGATGTACATGTGAGGCCTTTATACTTCGGAGTGATAACAGGACAGAATTTTGCAAGTGAGTCATTGCCCTCTGAAATGCAGGTTAACACAAGTTACTATCACCTGGCAAACTGTTGAACTTGCTCAGTGGGTTAATCCCAGTTAGAAGTTAATATTGTACTAAGCACTAAAATGCTCTTTAACAAGTATATAATCTGATAGAGTAATACATATGGCTCAACTGAGTATATACGTTATGCTTGAATGTAAAGAGTCATAGACAGCTTGGTACAAACTCTTCATGCGTACTGATTATACTTCGTTAATGTTGCAGGGGCTTCCAACTGTTAATACTATGTCAGCTACAGTACTCTGGAGACAGAAGTGGTGCTTATAGTTTGTAAGATTGAGGAAAGACCACAAATCTCCAACTGCAATGTCTGTTAATGTGATTCTGCCAGATTTCTCAGTGCTGATGGTCTAAAGTAAAGCAATAATACCTTCAATATCCGTAGGCATTATGAAATCCATCCTTCTTTATCTATGATGCAGTTACAAAAAAGAAAAAGTCAAAACACTTAATCCACTCCATAGAAAATCCCTGTGGCTTTGGATACCTTCTGATTTCAATGCATTAATTTAGACTCCATTTATCACCGTGAGAAGTTATATTTTACATATCTGCGTCACCATCATAAGCCAAGGTTAAAGGTTTCAGTCGGTTGTTCTGCCTTCTCTGGGGCTTCTTTGGCTTTTTGCTGAAACAATAAGATAGTTTGTAAATAGAACAAGAAACTAATAACATGGCAAAGATGGATTTCAGTCTTAAATGAAAGATGAGAGTATTTGATTGTTCATTTGTAAAAGCTATAAGCCTAAAACCTTCACTTGGATGAGTAATTATCTCTATCAATCCAAAGCAACATCTAAATCAAAGCTTAGTTGTTCAGAAACAGGCTGTTATGGTGCTGATGTGACTTGATGAAATCCTTGGCAGGTAATACTGCAAGATCAGTCACTTTTCAGAAGAACCCAGAGCCTGCAAGTGCAATATTTGGTCATGTATCAAAGACGCAATCAAGTTCTTTTAAACCATATGGCTCAAATCTTAACCTCCCTTGACACATCAAAGATTTCCCAAAGAAGGTTCCATCTTTTGATTAGTTTTGTCTTATTATACTTGCTGTAATTACTACAGTTAATTCTAAATGTTGTAATCAAAGGAGTCATAAATAGCAGGGATATGGTTGTTAGCCCTAACCATTCCTTGTCTAGCCTCGAATTAGATTTTAATCCAGCAGTATTTCCAATCCATTTGATATGGTTTTAAAAAATTACCAATCCAAAGGAAAATGCATGTTTATGCATGCTTTGGTATTTGTCTTCTTTTAGAGTCTAATATAAGCATTTATTTAAATTGGGCCTGTGCATCCTTTGTCTCGTCCAAAATCTTATCTCAGCTATGTCACTTAGGCTGCCCAAATCTAAACCTTTGTTACCAAACCAGTTGTTACAGTGGCCTTCAATGGCCATAGTTTCCAGTCTGAAGAATCTGCAGTGGAGTTGTATGGTAATGGATTTTCTTTTCCTCAAAAAAGAAAAGATTTTTTCCTTGTTTAGATAGAACTGAGATTCTGGAGAAGGTTTACTAAAAACTAAACAATTCCAGAAGCCCTCCAAATGCTTACTAATGAAATACAGCCAACAGCCTGATGGGTACGACCACACTTCCCTCACTTCCACCTCCACAGTCATTTGGATCACAAATTCCAAACAGGACCCAGAAAACTTCAAAGGAGAGCATTCTCAAAGGTGACGACTTCTTGAAAAAAATTTTTGCTTTCACATGCACTAAGGTTTTTCAAGAAAATATTTTTTCATGTATGGAAAACATATTAGAAAATTTTCAGACTTTTTGGTTGTGTATCTCTATATCCTGCCAAATATCAAATCTGACTTACCTGATTACTAAATTTCCTTCTTGCTATTTCTCCCTGTGTTTTGTCATACAGACACAATGAAATTATCATGGACACAGTACATTCTTAAAAGAGATAAACTGAGCAAAAATAAACTATACACTAAGCTACCCCATATTTGTAAGAAGTTCTTCTAACCTCAGGAAAGCATCTACATCATCTAGACTACAATCAGAGTCCACTAACCCGAGCTTGGACAAAAGGACATGGAAAATTAAACACTGCAGTTCACAGAAGTGTCTGCAGTTTCTACAGTGGCATATGTAAACACTTGCATTACAGTCTGTGTGGGACGGCTTCTTTGTAAATAATTAAAGAACTCACCAGGCTAGATAGATCATAGAAACAATAAAGATGAGTAAAACAAATGCACCAGCAGCTACACCATAAACCCAGGTCTTCAGCCTCCCATCTAAAAGGAATGAATGTTAGTCAGTAGTGTTTGAGTTAGTCTTGTTGAATTATTAGTTGTGATATAGTATATAAATACTGTTATAATCTGAAATAAATGTCTTTACTAGCAATTACAGCTTAATAACAGTAACTACTATTAAACGACTGAGCAATAGCTTCTCTGTGCACTTGTGCTTTGCTTTTCAGATGAAATCTGGATAATCTGAATGGAGCCGAGAAGTGGGGCTAAGGCAGCAAGTGAGACCCCCAGAAAGCAGCCCCTGGTAGCAGAGCATCCTTCAGCGTGATCGCAGGGCAGCGGGTCAGCCTGCAACTCATTTATGCTGTTAGAATCACTTTCCATTCTAGCTCTGGTAAATCAATATGCCTGTTATTGTCATTCCTGTTGCTATTTAATTTTATATTTCTAAATACCTTTAGCATGTTTTACCTCATTTATACCTTAACTGCACATACACAACTTTCATTACTGCATAAAGTAATAATTTTTCAATTTCTTCCCCTACCAAATGCGAGTTTTGTTGTTATAAAACAACCTTCCCTCACAGAACAAGCAAAAATACACCAAAAAGACAACGCATGCTCATAAATAGAACAACTGTCTGTTGTTAGTAAGGACTGTACCTATGTACAGCTTGTGCAGTCTGTATTTTGGACATGATGTCCCTGCAGGCTGAAGTATACATCCCACTCTCCTACTTGCCTTGATCCTAGATGCACTCACTTATCCCAGGAAAATGAGGGAAGAACAGGTGTGACTGCCTGTGGGGTTTTGCTCTGACCCCCAAATGAGTATGTCACAACCCCAGGTCAGTGCATGTTGTTTGACTCACTACTTTTATCTGACTAATTTTGCAAATTTCTAAATGGCTTTTTGAAAACATTCTTTTATAGGAGGTTAGCTAGCCTTGCTGCACCTCCTTGACAATTAAAAGTCCACAAAAAAGCTGAATTATTTCATTTACAAAGGGCAAGTTTTTTGTTTCATGAAGTTGTGTGAATTTTCAATGTAAGAAAACACAACTAAAATTTTTCTGACCAAATATTTGTTGCTTCCCAATGCCTCTGTAGAACAAAAAGGCATTATCAATGCAGTTGATGTTTCTACAATGTACTAAAACTAAAAATTAGTCAAACTGACTTTGCTCAGATTCACAGCAGCCCTCTCTATTGCTGCACAGTTAAGTTCAGGCTTTCTGTTCTCTAGTGATACAAAGTCTTGCAGTCATGTGGACAACTTGTTTAGGACTAATTAATATAAAAGCATTTTAGCTTCATTACATTAATCATCTTAATGAAACATTATAACTGATATAACTGAAATAACTAATCTATTAAAGATGGATTGAACAGTATATTTGACCTGACACATCCAATGACACCATAATACGAATGAGAGGAATTCAGACTTCAGTACTGTTAAATATGTTAATGTCTTCTCCCTTGACTTGTTTCCATCAGTAAATGTAAGGAGTTTCAGGTTGTTTGGGGTTTTCTTGTTTTAAAATAGTATTATCTTCTTGAAAAAAAGACTGGCATTACCTTGTGTATGGTTTTATTTAATTTTGTCAAAGCAGGGAACTCTGTTAATGAGGTCATTCATATTATGCAACTACAGGCATCTAACTCAGACTCTCCGAATTCCCTTGGACAGATTATTTCTACGTATATAAGGGAATTGGTATATGAAACTCATCTGTTTTGGGTAATACATCAGCACAGACACCTGAAGAAGATAGTTTAAATGCCCTCCTTTCTGGAACTGCAATATGATTTGTTGGAAGACAGTGAAAGTACTATTTTATATCTAGACTTCAAAACCGTGAGGAAAGGAATAATCATGCTAGAGTAAATCAAACCCTTTACAATAGTTACCCAATCCTTGAATTAAAACAATCAAGCATAAATCTCATCTGAAGCGCAAAATGTTCGCTTTCTTCCACCTTTACTCATACCTTCACTGAATAAAGTATTAGTTCTACTGAATACTGCTGCTTTTATCTGAGCTGAGCTATGTTTCCTTCCTAACTTGAATTACTGGAAAATTGGTAAGTTTTCATTAAATCTCTCAACTATTCCTTGCTCCAAAAACTATGCCCGAGCTCACACGAGCATCCACATTCCTAAATAGTTGAAGGCGACTGTCTGACATTTGCTTATTGTCAGCACTCTGGCTGCTACACAACCCACATTCTGGCATTTTCAGGTGGAGGTAGCTACAATGAGTTAAAGATAACATATTTGGTAAGATGCTATTTTTTAAAGGAGGACCAGAAAAGCTTAATTTTATTTTTTTATTGTGGATTAAAGTATTAACTAATTGGAGCAAAGGCCATTTTATTGCGGGTATCAAATATAGTATCACAGTACAAATAACAGTAAATACTAGTAGGACTAATGGGCTCTAACATAAGTATTCCTAACCCAAACATGATTTAATCTGCTTATTAGAAGTATCGCTGTAGTTCTCAATTTGCAGAATTTTACGGATTATGCATGTAAAGATAGTTTTCAATTTTCAGATTAAAAACATTCATAAAAGCTTTAGAAAGAAGTGAACACTCTAAGACAAAAGTGTATTAGAATATTTAGACCTACGTGATTTAAAAGACACTTAAGAAGATAACCAATTGTTCTCAATATAATTAATAGTTTGGACTAACATCAAATCTCTTTATGTAAAGGCAATTTGTTACTTAAAGTTTTATTTATCTCAATGCTTAGTACCAGGAAATATCTACTGAAATCTGATTACATGATGGACTTTATAAAGTATTTTTGATGGGATAACTGTCTTATATTTCTTGCCACTCTTGCACATAGGTCCTTGCTCAGCTCTAATGACCATGGTCCATGACAAAAGCAAATATTTCCCGTAAAGACTTAGAGCATGTCTATGCTAAATACCAATAATATGGTTAGATATTGTCTAACATGAATTAGTTTACATATGGATATGGCAGGAAAACATTAGCATATCTATACTGGTTGTTTTCCTATAATTTACGCTATGGTTGCAAATTTTAAGCAGCCCTTACCCTCTGCAGTGTTCAGTGCTACCTTTTCACTCCTCTATCAGCAGCATTATTGCTGGAGACAGCATTATCTAATACCCTGGCTTGCAACTTCGCAGCCACCTCCCTTCTAAAGGTAGAAGGGATTAAAAGGAAACCTTCTGCAATACAAGATTTCCTTAAATCTACTGATAGAGTAGCTGAGAAGGCTAGGGGTTTGCTTAATTCTCTTCCATTGTTTTCAGTCAGGGCAGATGCCTCTTCTGAAATGAACACTTAAGGGCTTTTCTTTTCTTCCTTGGCATCACAAGAATGTGAATGCCAGACCCTGCAGCAGTACTTAGCATTAAGAACTGCTCATTGCATGACTTCACCTGGCCCAAAAGGCTGTAGAAACCAGGTCCTTCCTCGTCCTGACTGGTTACTGGAGGGCTGGGTAGGGTTCACAGCTCGACTGGTTTTCACATCTCCCTTTTTGTCCTCCATGGTGGGGATCACCACCACTGGGATGAGAGTGCACTGTTCAAGTGTGCCATCGGAGGACATAACTTCAGTGTATCCGTCTTCACAACTGCATGTTCTAGTCTGTAGGGAACAAGTGTTTTACACTGTGTAGCAGAAAGACACAGTTTTCTGTGAGCCATAAAGCATAAAAACATGGATGACTGGAAGAGAAGACTGTTTCGATGAGTGCTAGCCTGTAGAGTACCTCTTCATTTATTTTTATGCAGGTTTGTACCAATTCAACAGAGATTATTCAACATTTCATTGAAAGGTAGAAAATGGTCTGAGGTTAATTTTAACGAATTAATGATTAGCAAAAACTCTGAAAATACTTTTTGTTGGCATAATCTTTGTCATGCAGAGAGATGTGTGGGAAGCCCTCACAGGGGTGTTTTACGCTCCAATGCAGTAGCACATACCTCACTGCAGTAAGCGTGGGGTTGACTGCACGGTGGATTACATGACCTGTCAGCATCTGGTTGGTGCATCACTAAACAGCCCCCTGTAGGACAGAAAATCATATTTTGACATGGTAATACCTCACCACTGATGAAATTACTGATGTCATTACTTGCTACAATATGTCATGGACTACAATTTTATTGCTATTTTGAATTTAAGAGTCCTTCTCTTATTCCAAGGTGAAGGATAATTAGTATCAAGTATTTTCTTGATAGAGTAAGGATAGAGCACGTGTATTTGCATTCATGTACATTTTAGAGAACTAATATTTGGCAATTGAACCTTTTGTTTTTTCCTTTGTTCCTTTGGTGGATGGCTCAAAAAAAAAACAGTTGAAATGTTTTGTTGTGCTTGAGGGAACAGTTTTTGGTTCTCTAGGGCACTCCTCATGACTTACATATTAAAACTGCGGCCACAAAGAAAATAAAAGCATATTTTTGATTTGTATCTTTGCCTGTTAAACTGAAAACAAACTACTCATCCTGTTTGTGAATAGATACCTGTTTTCTGCTGCTCCTCAGTAGTTACTTTTACACATGCTATAGTTTTGGCTGTTGTGAAGCCACACTTCATGCTAGTCTAAGACAGATTTTTCAAAAGGAAAGAAGTATTATCAGTAAAACATGTACTGAATGCTACGATACTGATGATATAGTGGGTTTCAGTCTTTTTCCTTTTTATACAGTCCTAGTTCTCATTTCTACAGCTTTACGTACAGTGCAGTTATTGTTATGGACCAATACACATCAGGCTTTCACTATCATTTCAGCCAGAATGACTTAAAAATACATTTAGAATCAGTCTGAATTTACCTGGGTTTCCTTCTAGCTTACAGAAGAGGCATATGCATCACGTGGTTTAAAATTTATACTGCTACAGGATGACTTATCTTGCATCTCCTAAATTAACAACATTTTTATACTGGTGTGATATGATGATGAAATCCTGATAGCTGAGGTTGGTCATGACCATAGCAGATGCAGTTAGATGTGGTTACTTAGATCCAAGTGTTAACAGGATGGCTGATGAGAACAAAGAAAACCCTGCTGACTATCATAAACTTTCCCCACCCCCAGAAAGGAAAACCATACATCCTAGCATACAAATCACATGCCTGTGGGAATCTATGTAATAAAATATCAGTCATCCAAGGAAGCTGCAGAAGGAAAGAGTTGCTTCGTCGCCCATGGGAAACAACACCTTCAAGTAAAAAAGAACTATTCAGCACAATGACATTATGCAAGTAAGTGAATAAATAACAGGACTCATAATACAAGTTGGATAATTCTGAATTCATATACACTATGTTAGAGTCAAATGTAGAGCAATACAGCAGCAAAGAAACACAGCAATCAGAGATGTGGGTTGATTCTAGATCGAAACAGGTAATCTCCATTTAAATAAATCGTGTATGTGCATCTATCAGTTTGAGCTCTTAAACACTGTAGTTTATACAAACTACTTTAAAAAAAACATTCAGATGTAAGTTACAATCTGGTTTATGACCATATACTTCATGCAGAGAAGTTCTCATGGAATGTTATAATTAAGTGCTTTGTTTGAAAACTATCAGGAACATACAAAAAATATAGTTTTGCACTGCATGGAAACTGGTGATTATATTGTCTGGAATTTTCCACTAGTCTTAATTTCAAATCAGAATGTCACCACAGCTTTAAAACCATGCACAAACAAACTGTGAAAAAGAAATACAATATAGGTCCGAGGTTACTCTGCCTAGGAGGTCCCATAATGAAAAATATGCCAGCGACACATATTCATGCAATTGTCTTTCCTGGAATTTATCACATGGCTCTATTCAGTCACATCAGAACAAACTATTATTTTTATATGACTGACTGTGATTCATGAATATATGCTGATTTTAACATCTTAGAACCATAAGAGCCAAGATGTTATTTATTTTGCAATCCTGTAGGTCCTTTAATAGATAATATCATATATTAATCTCAATAAGAATTCTTACTTAGAGTTTTACTTACCATACAAGCATCTTAGCGAGGCAGGAAGCAATCAAGGTGCATAAACAATGCCCCATTGCATTCATTGTGAAGATGATGCGTTTTAATATTCTTATAGCACAAGGTGACACTCGCAAATGAGACTTTGGGCTATTAAGTATTATTTCTACTGTTACAACAGACAGTGGTGGTGGATTCCACCATCAAGAAGTATTGTGTTGGCAGTCCATGAATTAGAGCTCCCCTCCTGCTAGCGGCTGGCATTGAGGATGTGATTACAATCCCTGGAATTCTTTTACTATCATCTCGGCTGATATAAAAATTATTTATATAAAATAAGCATAACTGTTAGCTTAAATGAATCCCTAATTCTGACAAATAAATTCATATAAATAGATTTATATGAAGATTTGCTTGAATTCAGAGACCTCAGTCATTCTTAATTCGTGGTGTTTTGTGCTTTGGTTTGCACAAAAATTAACTACATTCTATAGCTCTCTACTGAAGTATCCTGCTGTAGGTTTAAGTCATTGGAGAAATAAACTTAGATTAGCACGTTTATTAAAATTTTATACTTTGTAATTTTAAGGAGATATATGATATATGTATGATATTATCAAGCTTTGCATCTCTCTCTGCCTCTGTATAGGCAGTAAAATGAGCTTTAACACATAATATTTCTATTTGTTGTAGGGCTTGAAATCTGAAACCCTAAATATAAAAGTGTAAAGAATGTCTATGGTAAAAAAATATACAACGTAAAACATTCCAGGTCAGAAGACAAAATTTATATTTACTTTTAGCATTACGTGCTGCAGATTTCTGGAAAAGAAATTACATCTTTAGTATGCAAAAACAAGATGATTCACACCACCACCACATTGATTCATATATCAGGAACAAGTGTTTTCAGCAGCTTCTTAAAAAAAAAAAAAATTCCCTTTGTTGGGAAAAGACATTATCCACCTGTTTTCCAGGCTTATGTGTGTATATAGAAAGAGTAGTTACCTGTGACGTTTAAACCATCTGACCTTTGACACCACACAGTTCGAGAAGATCCCTTCCATGGGCTAGCCATCCACTTGTATTCATAGCACTGGCCATCTACACAGAGAACATTCACTTTTAAGAAATTTGATGACAAGATTTTAGGCTACCACTGGTGGCAGCCACATTCATCAGTAGACCACACGCATTATGTTTAATGGCTTTTATGGCTAAGTAGGCTCCTTCCTCCTTCACCGAGCAACTTAGAAGGGTGCGCTGCACACATGGAGGCCCCAAGGTCTCCTGCACGTATTGGATACATACAGAATAGACCAGATGTGTCCCTGACACTAACTATAATGATTGTACACACAGCTCGTGGAGTAAGCCTAACGTGGTTAATGGGCAAAGCAGACATTTCCAATAACCTCATAATGGTTGTGGCCCATCTGTTGCACAAAACTCATTTAGGAGTCAGGTTCCTTTCCTTGTAATGCTGAGCTTCAGTCAATACTCCAGTGCTTGTTGAAGCGACTTGGGCTGCATTTGGCTTCATGTCTCAGCTCTGTTGTACATCTCTCATATGGCCTGGGATAAATCATTCTGCACCTTAGCTCCCTTATAAATATAAAATTCCTTTTTGTCTGATCTGTCTGGCATCTGAATGGACAAGAAATGTCTGTACAGGAAATTATTTTTCTTAGATACTTTGTCCAGTACTGGCAGTAAGCATGACTGAGACTTTTTAAAGTCACTGTCATGCAATTAACAACCATTCAAAGGGTAGAGAGAAATCTAAATTTGGTTATGTATCAAAAATTAAAGATTTCTTTTTATTGCTGTTATCAAGCAGATAAGGCAACTATTTTTCCCCATATCATAAAAAGAACTATCACTACTTAAAAAGGATCATCAATTCTCCAAAGATTGTGTTTAAAGTGGTAATACATGATAGTTAGCTTTTGAAAGTTTTTCTGTTTACAACTGATGTCTGGAAAACAAAAATTTAAGTGCATTTCCAAGTCTATCAAATCCATATTTGCCTAAACTTGATACCTTGAACAGAAAGAAAACAAAACTATTGTTGTTCTGTATTTTTTTCTTACAAGAAGTGGCCGTATATGTATTTTGGTGCTTACCATTGCATGGTCGTGTTTCCAAAGCCTGTTCTGGACAGAGATGTTGATTCTCTAACTCCTGTATGATCACTGCCCGAGACCGGACTTGTATCCCTCCAAAGCCAAGATCCTCACCATTAACACAGGTTAGCTGACAAAGGCTCCATTCTGACCACTCTCTCAAGTAACAGTCCCCTGTCAAATAGCAATTTTGTAAAATGAATGATGATCATATGTGAAGAGTTTTTCGCACTGAATATGGCTTAGAAAAAAAATGTCCAAATCTGGTTTATTAATTTTCCCTCTTTATATTTCCTTTCATTCCTGTTTTTAAACATGACATATTTAAGAGAAGATAATATTTTGACAGTCTGAATATCTGTGCAGCAGCAAACAGTAATAAAAATTTTATACAAAAGCCTATTTTTTCTAAAGCAGGGTGTTTTCCTGTAGCATTCCCATAAAATCACTCTCATTTTGAATTTCTGAGTAACGTCCCACCCAATGTTTGGATTTTTGTAAATTTTAGCCTATTGTGTACTGTATGCCTTACGCTAAATTCATATATATTGTCCACAATTCTTCTTTGATCTTAGAAAGAGAAAACGTTGTCTAGTCTTAAAAAAATTAATTATTGCTTATCCTGATGCAGAATTTCTCTAAACAGTGGAAACAACTGCTGGAACATTCTTTGCAAGAAAGGGAAATGGGAAGGTGATTAAAATGTCTGTTCTGGCTATTTTATGTTAGGATAATAGAGATTTGTAGAATGTTATAGTGTAAAACTGAAAAATAAAATTATACTAATGACACTAATTAGCATGATTGGCTAAAGAACATTTAAGGAAGATCTGAGGCACAACACAAAGAGACCATTTTGTTAAAACTACAGTAGAAAATAGGACTAGACTATGCACAGACTCATAAACAAACCTCTTAGTTCTCATTATTTCAGTGAAAGAGCTATTAAAAATTCATGCTACCTTGCATTATACTGATGATAGATATAATCAGTACCGTGTTGACCAGATGCCTGATTAATGAAGGAATTTTATTTGCCAATGTTAGGAAAGCATGCGAAGAAATGAATAATTGAAGAACTGATGTATACGTAATAGGAAAACAAGTAGTGATTTTTGGAAACATTAGTTGGAGCATATCATTAGCACATCCCCACAGGGCAGTTATTCTTGCTGGCTAAATGCGAGATTGTTGAAGAACGGGTTCCTGCTCAGCAAAATTTTAAAAGCGAGCAGTAAGCAGCTATATTTTTTAATATATATTTGACTAACAAGAAAACATAACTACAAGTTTTTTATTCTTCCAATTTAATAAGTACAAATATGTGAAAATCATGCAATTGGAATGCTGTGCATAAACCAGCAATGGAAGCCTCTCTGTTTTTGATTATTTTCTATTTATTGAGGTAACTTTACCTTCAGTCCAATCTGAAATAAACTGGAAGAAAAATTCTGATAAAGAGGAGATTTGCAAGAGAACAAAACCAAAGTACTGGTTTGGAATGACAGCTACATTAGAACTAAAGGAGGTAATCACTACTTCTAAAGACACATCACTAATGACTCTACTGAACAAAAGCAATACACTCCAAATTCTACAAATAAGTGTTTGAAATTAAGTAAGTGGAGCAGTTTTACTGGGAATTAAACAGCTGTTATAGGCTCTTAATCCTTCTCAGTATGAGGGTCAGGGACCTGATCATTTATAACATCTCCTTTGGATTCAGTCTACAAGGGCAATGATAGTGCATGTCACATCCAGCAAATTTAAACAGCTAGAAACACTCCATTTTCTCAGAGATCAAAATATTGGTTTCATTTGGAATAGCCCACTGCAAATAAAAAAATAAGACTCCCTAGCTTAGCTTCCTTAGACACCGGTAAAAAGCATTAAGTTCTTAGCCACTGTTAAAAGTATTAATAAAGCTTTTAGGTGATCTAAGCACTTAAAGTAAATATTTAGCTGTAAACCAACACTCCTTAGAGTTGAACACAGGTTTTATTTTAAAAGATTTTGGGAAAAAGTATATTCTTATTAGGTAAAATCTGTGACTGAGACATGTCTTTTATAAAATTTAAAACCTGGTATTTTTTCTAATTGATCTATTGTCATGAAGCCACTAACAGAAAGTAACTCCGATAGTCATTTGATGAATGAATCCAATCAGTAAAGCATGTGAAAAAGATTTAATTGCCTGTGGCTAATGCTAGGCACTGATAACTGTAATGATACCAAACTAATGCAATATTTGTTTGAATAGCTTCGTTACCTGGACACGGGACAGTGCAGGTTTCCTCAAGTATCATCTTCTTATTACCATCTATAATAGGCTCTATTTCTCCACAGAATTCCTCATCTACTACTTTGCCAGTATCTTCAATGGATCCGTCAAAAACCACACAGGAAACGTTCCTCACTCGTGTTCCCTCTCCACATTGAGCATCCTGGGGAAGGAGGACATACATGGATGCTGGACAGAAGAAAGTGCCAGAAGACTAGATCTGAGCTACATGTCACTCTGCCTCCTATTATTTCTTGCTTAACTACTTATTCATTCCAGTGCGGGGGGAAGACTTTGTTCTTTACTTCCGAAACAAACAACCAACCAAAATCTCTGCTGGCTGCTAACACTGTTTCTTAAAGTATGGAGCTAATTATACTTTTGAATTGCAACCACAGCAGTATCTCAAGTGGAGATCTCTTCTAGGATGCCAATCTATTTCCACAGATATTCTTTTACAATAGAAGGATTTCAATTATTAACAAAGATGCTGCTTGGGTACCAAAGTTTACATTTATACTTTGAATATCTGTAGCACATTGTTATATCTGTTGACAAATATGAACTCTAAGAAAAATTCTTTAGTTTTTGTATAAGAGAGGTGGAACCAAATTGTTTACAGTGTTATGAAGCAGGTGTCTGAGCATATCACAAATATGCCTAGATACACAAGCTCCGTAACTTCAAAGTCCCATATAGCTTTTACCTCTACTTTGCATGCAGACCATTGACCATATTGCCATCGATAACAAGGTTTTACTGGACAGGGTTTGAACTGCTCCATCTGAGAGGGACAAGGCCTCCCATCACCCTGAAATGGCTGATTTATGGTCCTCCTTCTGATCATTTTTCCTGTAAATGAGAAACAGCAATATAACTAACAACAAAGTGGTTAGACTGATTTATTCCTCAAGATGGTTCTATTTTGGTGAAAAGCATTGTGTTTGAATAAAGTAATTTTTTCCACATTTAACAAATTGGATTGCAAAGCAGGCCTGTTGGCTGTTAGAAAATGTAAATCCATATAACAGACAAGTCAGACGTTTTATATTCTATCATTTGTTTGTACTGCAAGAAGTGCAGGAGGATGTTTGATTAGGATTTGAGCAAACAAAAGTAGTAATTTCCTAGTTCAGAAGTATGGGCAAAAATACTCCTTCTGAATGTGACAATGTGTCTGTGGTACTTCAGTGGAGATTCCAGCTCCTCATCTGGAGTTTGCTGCTAGAAGAAACCAACGTGTTCTGTTCTTCCCTCAGTTAATACAGAATCATGTGTCCCATGATGATTGTCTGATTCCCTAACCAGGAACAGCTTGCCACTTTCCCTCGCTGTCCGTCTGCACAACGTGACATGCAGATTTTGCAGGAGATGAAGGATTCTTCTCTCAGGCCCGAAGAAAATTAAAATACAATAGGCTTATCCAACATTAATCTTCTCTTCAACCATGAAGAGAAGATTCACGCTACCCAGCATCACTGAGATACAGGTTCTATTTCAAATACTTATACAAACAGAAAGAGGAAGACATTTGTAACCTTTCGGCAACTCTTGCTTCCTTCATCTTGCAGTGGACATTAGACCATTATGCTTCATTACAGACAGGCCATGTCATATAACCAATATAATTTTTGTGTGCCAGAAGTAGTGGTAAAGTAGCTGCTCTAGGCTTGGCACCTCACAAACATTTCCACAAAATCAACACAGCTGTAGTATTTTAATCTATGTATAGATATATATACATGAACCAAGTCTGAAATAAGATCTATGTATTTAAATTTTTATACTGAGGCATACAATAAACTAAGGCATTACACAGATTTACCTACATAAAAGCTGGTATTAGCTGGCCAAAACAATTCATCGTTAATTCCACATTTCAATTCTGATGCATTTGGAATTGAACAACCTAATGATCATGACTCAAATCTTTTGCTGCGAGCAGGCTACACCAGTCTCCCAGCCAGCTGTGTTTACTGCAGCTAGCTAGAAAGATGTTTACCAACTGGAGCCTCATCTTTCCTGGGTTCACAGCTGCTCCAGCTGAGATGTTACAGGAGAAAACAAGACTTTCTTGAAAACTACTGGAGAAAAAAAAACCAAAAAACCGCAATGAGCAGAATTCTTCCATACAAAATTCTTCTTCAACTTTATGGGTATTTGCATGGGTGTGCAGCTGTGATTCAGCTTTGTGGCTGCTGGGTTTATCAGATGTTTATTGATTTTGAAAAACAGCAGCTACTTCCAACTTCCCGCCTGATAGGAAAACTACAGCTTCAAGATTTATATGTGAGGTTGCCAGTGTTTGTTAAAAACACTGGAAATTTGAAAGCTGTTTTATATTGTTATTTTTTGAAAAAGCATAGCAACAATAATTCTCATTAAGAAAAATATCAGGTCAATTCTTCAGGTCTTATATATAAACAGAAGCTTGTGAAGGAAAATCTGACAACATACTGAAGCCTTCAATAGAGCTGTTAGTTCAATTCTCACTCTATGAGGGTTATTTTTAATATCTAAGTGGAGACTATTTGAATGTAGAAGTCATGCTTTGAGAGGTAATGTCAAGAACTGAAACATTATTACATAATTAGATACTGCAGTATCAAATTATTAACTGTTATCATTAAAAAATCCATAGGTCATTCTGTTGGGATCCTGAGGTGGCCAGAGCTTTTGGATGTTTTTGCCTAGACCTTTTCCCTGTGGTGCACTCCCCAAGGAACACAAAAAGATGCGATATCCTTTTACTCTGAGCCCAGCAGTTGAAACTGGATTCCATACACTGCTAACCATCCAATATCTGTAGTGACATGTTACAGATGTGATTACAGAACAAAGAGGCTTCATAGATGGGCTTCTACCCTTCTCTTTCAGTAGTTCGTGTTCCTTAGTTGCAGCGCACAATGGTGCTTTCAGGTCCTTATTCTGATCCATATCAGCACAAATAAATAACAAGATTTCCTTCATACCTAGAATGTGCTTTTGTTATCCATTCTCTGAAGTAGATTTGATTTTAAAAAACTTAGATAGTAGTTAGAAGCATTTTGGAAAAAAACAAATTAATGTGATCACAGTGAAAGTAACTTGTCTCCCCACACTTGTTCTGTGTTTAAAAATATGGAATTCTGTGGTGAGTAAATTTGTTGGTTTTAATCACTGTGCTTTTCTACAAGCTTAGTTGTTCTAAACTCACCACTAATGAAACTTAAGAGAAAATCCGTCCCTCCTCTTCCTCCCCCACCCATGGAAATACATTCACTTTGTTCCCAGAGTTAGAAACTATTCTGGGCCAAATTCTCATTATCTTCAGTGAGTACAGTCTCACTGAAGCATATTATGCCCATAAATAAGGCTGATTTAGATCCCTATCACTGTCCCTAGCTAGTTACATTTTCTAGTTCTTCAAAAAGAGATATTATTGCTTTTATTAAGGGGGAAAAAAAAAGGGGAACACCCCCCCCACCTCAATCTGAGGTATATACTGACCTGTAAGGCCACATGTTTGAGAGCACTCAGACCACGGGGACCAGTCAGAGAGCTGACAGTTCACAGGACATTCCACAACACAGGATGTATTCATTTGCCATGTCTTCTCCAAACCAAGCTAAAGAAAATAATGGTCAGCATGTAACACCCAGTCCGTGTCGTTGGTGCAGAGTATGCATTTGGACACGATGAACGGGATACAACTAAAGCTTTAAGCAAACATGAAGTCATTACTAAATAGAAAGTAAAGCAAATTAGGACATTTAAAAATCTCACTTTAAGGCAGTCCTAATGCATATGCTGATTTTTAAATACATGCTTAAATCCTATTTTCATCAACTATTTTCTAAATTAGAGCCTATAAATGGAGGGCTTCAGCTCTACAGTATTACTTTATACAATAGGTAATACACAAAGTAATTTATGAAGTATCAGTAAAGTATTTTGAAATCAGAATATACAAATACTGAACTATCAACAGCTATTAACAGCTGAATTTAAGCGATGCTTGGAGCCAGGGTCAAAACTAACAAAAGGAGAAGGACAAACTGCATTGGGTATTCAGTTTATTTGTCAGAAGATGTTGCAAATGCTAAAAGTTTACAGGAGCTCAAGAGAGGCTGAACAAGTGAATGGAAGAGATATCTGAAGTTTTAAACACACTGAAACCATGTTGAGGAAATGCAGTCCAAGAGCTGAAAACAGGTGGAGGCTATGAGAAGACTAGAAGAAAACTCATGTATGTCTGTCCTTCTTGCTCTTCCTTAGGCATCTGCTTATGCCTCTCTCTTGTTTTTTCCCTAACATGGTGTGTAAGTTTATTATATATATTATGCTATCCATTCTACTGTATGCAAAAATACTGATGCTACATTGACAATGGTTTGTTCCAAAAAGAATAACAGCTTTGCATGTTTTTTCTGAAAAGCTTTGCAAAAAGAAGAATCCTCTAGCATACCTAACTAAAAGCTGCAAATCCTGGAAAAGTATGAGAGAAGGGGACACAGAAAATGACCAGACTCACATGTTTTCACAAAAATGCATTCTGCACTGAGCTCTTCTCTGGCCAGGAGTCAGCTTAACACCAACAAATTATGGAACCCCCACAAGGAATGAAGAGTTTTATGGCCATGCTTGGAGATGGCAGAGTGGCTACATGGTCCTTTCTCTGATCCTGTAAAGTCATTTCTATGTTCTTATAAACTCCCAAGCTCGAGATTTTCCCAAACCAAGGAAGAAAAGAGATATTCTCAATAACACACATGAGAATATATGATGCAAGATGGAATACGACCAATGGCAAAAATATTAGCATGACAATAGTAATCCCTGCAGCCTGTACAGCTTCAGAATGAGTTAAAACCATAGGTCAATTATAGTGTGTATGATATAAAGTGTGAAAGAAAATCAATCCTGCCAATATGAACAATACGATCTGCAGCTTCCGAGCATAAAAAACTGCCCTCTTCATTGGCCCTCACCAGTGGACCTTGATCATCATTGGGGCCTTTCAGAATCCCAGGAGGTTGTGGATATCTTTGAGTAGATAAAATCCCCACATAGTTTAAAAAAAAAAAAGCAAACTAGATATTTCAAAACCTATTAATTTTAATGACTGGAAAGGTTAATGACATAAACCCAGCAGTTAAGACTTTAAAAAGGAAATAAAAACACTATTTCCTACTAACTGCAAGCATAGAACAATAATTAGGCACAATATTAACATGTCCTCCATAAATAAACTACCACAAGTACTGGAAATGTCGCACCCTGATAGACTCACCAAGCCTTAAATTTGCATTTGCAGTACCATTTATTGAGACAAATGAGGGTTTTAGATCTCTGTTCTGTTTTATACATCAAAGAATGAGTTCTTGGCTTTTCTCTGTAGTACAGTATAACCTTGATTATCCAGCTATCACACACAGGCAACACCTGAAACCTTGGGATAATTTGGAATTTGGATGATTAGGAAACTAGAGAACCGTCTTTGAAGTCTATATTTGGGTCAAATCTTCTGAGCAAAGGCTTTAATGCCTGCTGAATTGACTCCTGCCAATTATAGAAACATGACTGCTCTCTTTCAGGACTGGCCTTCTCAGCTGGACATTGGCAGCTAGAGAAGGTAAAGCCCAAGAGAGATATTAAAGCTTAAGAGGAGAAAGCTGAAGGCCAGATTACCCACAGTGATCTGCCATTTGTATGTCTTAGATACCGAAGTGTTACTGAAACAGATTTGGGGAATAATTGGCAGGCAGCAATCTGATATTAATCATATATTCTTTTCTCATCCCTCTCTTTCCCTCAACTGATGAACCACAATTCACCTTGAAGATCTTAGAAAACATTTGGAAAAGTGTTCACTAGCTCCCTTACCTGAAAGAGTTCTGTTCTGGACGAACTGTGCTTTCTGATTCGAAAATGGCAAGTTCTGGAAGAGTTACATTGATAGCTACCACTGAGCACCCTGTACTCCTGGTCACACAAACCAGGCGCAGCAGGCTGCCAGACCAGCACTCTCTATAAACGCCGAGATCCACAAAAAGTATCTGTATTTTTTTTATAGGCGTGTTTGGCACTGCAGATTAACCTCTGCTGGAGGTTAATCATCTAATCTGACAAACAACCTATTTGCCAATAGAACAGAAAAGTCTACTTTCTAATGCAGACAAAACTGCTGGTTTCTAAGTTTTTCTGATCTTTAATTGAAGGTAAATGAATAAAAAATAAGCCCATAAATATGAATGTGACGAGGACCAGCTTGCTTTAGGTGATTTGATTTTCAAATACTCAAGGAAAAGACAAGCTGAGTTCTTGTGATGTGCTAACTTTGTAGAGTTAGAGAGCAAGTAATCCAGTATTACTGTGCCTTGAGAGTTTGAAGGGAACTATGTTAACATAACAAGGACTTGGAAATAAGCTCTGGAAATTGATTTATCCTGGCAGTAATCAGGATGACTGGCTAGCTTCTTTAGCTGATTGACCGAAACAAACGCAAGATCATATGGACACATTAGGAAACCAGAACACAAGGGCTTGGAAGAAATGTTAGTATTTAACTACTCTGATGCCCATACCTAGAGATAGTGATAGTCAAAGGACAGTGTGAAGGGTTTTTTATATATGGCTTTTATTAGTTTCTTGAACCACATATGATATATAGGAACTCAGACATTGCAATCAGCCATCTTCCTTTCTTAGGGATGAAGATAGGTTTAACTATTCTGATCTCTCGTCTTTGCATATAATATTGAGAATCATATTTCTGTAAATGTATCTACACATAAATTAAACAAAACTTTTGCTTTATTCATACATCCAGTATAAAGCTTTATGATAGCCCAGGGGAAATGCGTGCACTGCTTTTATAGTGCAAAAACACAGTAAAAACCCCCACCCTGAAGGATCATATGTGATTAGGTTAGTAAGAAGTGCATAGTATGTATTCACAGTTTAATAATTTCTTGAATATTCTCCTCTCATGACCTGGAAGGTCACAGAGTTGGCTTTCATGTCTTTAGAGTGAAGGGTCTGGTAAGATCTGAACAGCTTGGCTTTCTTGTTAATCAGGTTAACAGGTTTTACTCCTCATAGTTATTGGATCAGCCTTTGACCTTGTTGTACTACTGCTTACACATCCATAATTCAACAAACACTCATAACAGTGTGACAGGGGAGTGGATCAGGGCTCTCTACAGGAAGATGTATCTCTATATCGTCTAGCAAATCAAAAGAGCAAATAAGACTATATCACAGTGGTTACTGATAAAGCCAGGACCCCACTGCAGTGATGTCTGTTGGCCAATCTTTTACAACAAGTAGCTTTTGAGATGTTATCTTGTTGCCCTAATTATTTCTCTGAGTAGTAACCTTCTGTTTCTTAAATACAGGAAAGCTCCAGAGGTTTTCTGCAATGAGATTTCAGTGTAAAATGTAATCATTTTTTCTAAATGTTGCTCAAAATCTTTGCATAACAACAGGAATAATTTCTTGGCTTTATGGTAAAAGAAATATATTTCCCCTTAAAAACTAATAAAGCTTTTTTTTTTCTATTTAAATATTCATGTGGATGGATATTTTATATCATGTCTTGGTATGAATTAATCAATATTGCAGTCTCTTAGAAATAACTCGAGGGTCTTTTTTTTTTCTTTTAATGCATTAAAATGTTAACAGAAGGCATTAATGCATTCCGCTACTAACTTTGCAGAAACATGCTGGTAGGTAGCCAGATCCTGAGTTTTTTTCCTGAGACATAAATGATCAAATTATTGTACACGATGAGTTTCCTGCATCCCTCCACTTCTGATGAGACTGTTCTCTATGGACATGTCCTGAAGAGCAGCTACTAGCCAGGAAGGTCCAAAAGAAAAGGTTTTGGGTTTGCATGGTAAGGTTTTGGTAGTGGTGGGGGTTGCAGGGCTGGCTTCTGCGAGAAGTTGCTAGAAGCCTCACCTGTGTCCGATAGACGCCAGTGCCAGCCGGCTCCAAATCGGACCTGCCTCTGGCCAAGGCCAAGCCAATCAGCAATGGTGGTAGCACCTCTGGGATAACATATTTAAGACGGGGGGAAAAAAACAGCACACAGCATCTGCAGCTGGAGAGAGGAGTGAGAATATGTGAAAACAACTCTGCAGACACCAAGGTCAGTGAAGAAGGAGGGGCTCCAGGCACCCAAGCAGAGATTCCCCTGCAGCCTGTGGTAAAGACCATGGTGAGGCAGGCTGTCACCCTGCAGCCCATGGAGATCCATGCTGGAGCAGATCTTCAACTGCAACCCGGGGAGGACCCCACTCTGGAGCAGGTGGCTGCCCAAAGGAGATTGTGACCCTGTGGGAGGCCCACACTGGAGCAGGCTCCTGGCAGGACCTGTGGACCCATGGAAAGAGGAGCGCAGGCTGGAGCAAGTTTGCTGGCAGGACTTGTGACCCTGTGGGGGACCCAGGCTGGAGCAGTCAGTTCCTGAAGGACGACACCCTGTGGCAGGGACCCAGGCTGGAGCAGTTTGTGAACTGCACCTGTGGGAAGGACTCACATTGGAGAAGTTCATGGAGGACTATCTCCCATGTGAAGGGACCTGCAGCAGGGGAAGAGTGCGAGTCCTCCTCTTGAGAAGGAAGAAGTGGCAGAAACAATGTGTGATGAACTGACCACAACCCCCATTCCCCATCCCCTTGTGCCACTCAGGGCGGAGGTGATAGAGAAATTGGGTGCAAAGTTGAGCCCAGGAAAAACACTGCGGTGGGAGGAAGGTTTTAAGTTTTGGTTTTATTTCTCATTAACCATCTCTGATTTTGATTGGCAATAAATTAAACTAATTTCCTAAAGTTGAGTCTGTTTTGCTCATGACAATAATTGCTGACTGATCGTTCCCTGGTCCTATCTCGACCCACAAGCTTTTCATTATTATTTTCTCTCCCCTGTCCAGCTGAGGAGGGGAGCGATAGAGCAGCTTTTGGTAGGAACCTGGGGTCTAGTCAAGGTCAACCCACCACAGTACCAAAGCTGCTGTGGAGGCCACTCCACCTTAGTCCCCCATTGCAAGAGATTTTGTTTCTGATGTCAAGGTGGTAGGGGAATGGCAGCTGAAACAAGTTTACTTTCCATCAGAAATGCATGTAGGATTACCCTTAATGTAACACTAGTATTGTCTTCCCATTTTCCTTCACATCACTATCTCCATGCAATTGAAAACATTAAGACCAACACACAAAATATCAGAAAACCCATGCTGTCAAATCTGAAGATAGTTTGAACATTTGCGAAATGGTTTTTTTTTTTAAATTTAAGGGCTCTTGTCTGCTGCTGGTCTCCCTATATGTTCCTATTTAATATTGCAGTCATGCTGCACATTTTTTCACACTAGCTTGGGTATTTTTTGCATTGCACAGCTGGATACAAGAAGTTAGCATTCAGCCCAGCTGCAGAATGGCACGTGAGAAATATTTTCCAACACATTGAGTAAATGATTGATACTGGCAGCTGTCCAAAGCTCCATGCAGAAATTGTATCAAACTAGAATGATGATTAGTGTTCCGATTAAGATTTATTACCTTTATTCTACTTTATTAATTATTGTTTCTAAGTAATTTCCTTCAGGACATAATAATTAGCATACATTCGTGGAGGCACTCAAAAGTAACCAAAGGAAATTGTATAAAAATCACTGTTGATGGCACAGTTCATTTCAGAGGTACTTAACAATCCATGAATAGTATTGCAAAACATCTGGCGAAGATGGGTTACATGCCATATAGCTCAGTTGGCTCAGCGTTAATTAGCACTGTTAGAAGGGAGCTTATTCACAGGTACCCACTCACCTCTTCACAGTACTTCAGGTCAACCGATTTGCCATCACTGCGAACACAATCAAGCATCCGTGTTTTGATACCGTTACCACAGACAGCCTTCTCGCTGAGCTGACATGTGCTCCAGTCTGGAAATAAAGAATTCATTTGTGTAGCAGACATTTTAGATAAAACTCATAATGATCCAATCTCCCAATTAATTCTAATTCTGATGACCAAAAGTAATCCTCACAAGCAACTTTTACACGTGCAAAGGCTCACGGAGACCAGCTGCTACACATTTTTGGAAACAGCAACTTTTACTACAAACAGTTAGTGCCATGATGCCTTCCTGAAAAGCTCATATTTGTTTTCATCTGCATGGATTTTGAGCAAATCACAAAATGATAGGAGAAATACATTTCCTGGAGTTACAGCACGCACACTTCACTGAAGGTGCAAAGCCTCCAGTAATATTTTATCTGGATCAAATAGCCTGAATCAGTTTTCAGTACAAGCTCCACAGCTCCCTCCAGATAAGAACAGAAAGCTGAAAAATCTGTCCTGTAAGGTGAATGGAAGTAAGCCATAGTCCCCAGCTGCCACTAGAGCATAACACCACAAATACCTGTCACGTTGTAGTCATAGTGGTAGCAGTTTTTGTTCAAAGTGCAGGCTTCTGTCTCGGTGGCAGCAGGACAGGACTTTCCATCATCTGGTTGTCTCAGGGATTCAGCTGACCTTTCACGGACACTACTTCCATTGCATGGCTTGAAAGGGAGATTGGAAACAGCTTTGATATTTTGGCACTCTCATATCTTTTCATGCAACATTATAACGACATTTCGAGTAGTCCCTTCACAAAACACAAATGTAAAATAACAGGCTTATGCTGTTGGGTAAGAGAAACCATTTCCTTGTTATTTCAGAGATAATTTAGTCTGCTCTTGGTACCACCCAAGGTGAAATATACTGGGTACTTTCCTAACTAGTTTATATTTCAGTACTAGTGCTTTGGAACTCTCTCCCACGTAAACTGGATATTGCGATGCTAACTTTCCAAACGCTATAATGTAGTGCACCAGAGCCCAAATACTCAAGAGGTCCTGAAACACTTTTTTATGTTTGGTTTGGGTTTTTTGACATTTCTTTTTGAAATTGCTGGCAGGAAGGGAACAGGAGGCCCAAAATTATCTTTCTATGCTCAGTCTTGATCTACAGACTTTGCTTGTTACAGGATACTGACATTTTTAGTACAGTGACTCCACTGCTATGGAGAGGCTCACAGCTAGGATCAAAGGTGGACTCATAAGCCACTACCAAAGCTATTCCACCACATAGAACCCACCCTATGCTGAAGAATGACCACTAGGGACATTATATTTTGTGTTTTGGAATAATTTCACTTAATGGAAAATACTGACACAGTTTATTTGCAGCCAACTACCAACAACCCTAAAGATGACAGTAAAGATAGATATTTACATGTGTAATCACTGCTCGATTCAGCATCTTTGCACAATACGTCATGCATACATTTTTAAAGTATACTCCTAAAACTGTAAATGTTACACTTCAGTATACTTCTTACCAAAGAACATCGAGACCATGATCCCCATTCAGACACAACACAGTCCTCAGGACATGGTAACGTGCATTTTCTAGCACCAAGTGGCATCTCTTCAGGATCACACAGGTAATCCTCTACAGTGTCAGAAGGACCATCCACAGTATTTAGCATGCACCTGGAAAAAAGAACTGGACATAAACTGCATTTGCCATGGAATTTATACAGTAACTGTTCCACAGTATGCTGAAGCATTTTAACATTTTGTCAGAACATAACAATCTTAAGTACTTAAAGTAACAGAACTAAATATTGATCTATGAATATCCAAGAAAAACTGAAAGTAAGCCAAAAAGTAATATGTGTATTTTCATATACATATATATTTCATAGTAATATGAAAAGCCAAAAGTAATATGTGTTTTTACAGATGACAGCCACATAAAGAAATGCACCAACTTTAGAAAGTCTCTATGAGTCATTTGCTGAGAGTTTCTGGGCAGGTAACTTACTTGACATTAGCTTACCTCTAAATGAGAATAATGCATTTATAGTTTAGACATAGTTTAGACATATTTTGTGCATGCTTCAACTGATAATTTTAAATCTAGAAATAATAAAACTTCTAAAATTTTATATTCTTAGTATTAATCCCTAATTTACACTGATGCTTTTTAATTACCATTATATTAAATTAGCAGATGGAGGCCCAGTTAAGATGAGAACAGTCTTCATTCCACAGTATTTCCAATACTGTAGCATCTACTGTTAACATACCCCTTCCGCCTGTCAGCAGAAGACCAACTAGTACATTACTAGGATCATTCAAATTAAGACACTTGCATTTGTTTTCCAGAATTGCAAAAGAAAAGCTATTATCAATAGGAAGTCTTTCACACGTGGATAAATATTCAGCATTTCTTCCACCTGACCACATTAATTTTTTTATGAATATCTTGTATTATCACACTAAACTAATTTTTGAAACACTCTCTGTTCTAAGGTAAACATAGGAGATGCAGCAGGAGCATTTATTAGCTTTGTGGAATTAGTATTTAATGGTGTTATGTGATAATAAATGAAGTGTTAGATGTTTTTTGTCCCAACGGGCAGAAAACACATTCTTTCTTTATCTTTGATGGTAGTGTTATAAACATTGATTAATTTTGATTTTCATATTGGAGATTTTTAAGAGTATTCTATTGGTATTTGCTTAGATGCTACTCTGTGAGAACAGTTATGCATAGCCTTTCCATCTTTGGTCAAGCAAAGATTAAGACTTTGACCTTCTTGAAGTACACAGTTACACTGAGGAAACAGTGTTATTGTGAATAAAATCATGTAAATGTGCAAGTGTCTGAGTACTTTTAACATTTAAAGAAAGAACATTTAGCACTTCACTGTATACAGCTCTCATTTTGGACCTACAGATTGAATTCACATTATGCTTTATTGTTCAGATTTATAATCTCAAATTGTGTGTCATTGTACAGTTAGCCAATAAAAAACCCAACCAACCCAAACTCCATGTACTGCTTTACTTGCTGTTGTACCACACTATGTGAGACTAATTTTAATTAACCTTTGATTAGAGCCCTAGGATGATGAGCAAGTGTACAAGATGCCTAGATCAGAGTCAATAAACAACAGAAGATTTATGTATTTTTCTATTTCACTTCATTCACTTTTGCCACTTTTTCCTGTAATAAGCATAACTATTATTCCCAGGTGCGTATGTACTTAAAAGGTTTTTCAAAATCATAGTTTCATATACAAAGAGGACCATTTCACCTTTCAGAAAAGCACTAAAATCATACGTTGCATTGTTTATAGTAGTATAAGGACAATATACATCAGTTTATAAACTAGGAATCAAGTTCTATACCCATAACCGGTAGACAGAGCCATATTGCACTCACGGAAGCTGTTGTGATTTACATTAGCCAGGGTTCTGGTCCAGTATACTATGGCTGGACTTACCACTATACATGACACGGAATTACATCAAACACAGCCACGGATAAAAGTGAAAGCTCTCTAAAGTGAAGGAGGAGCAATACCGTTTTACCTGACTTTCCTCGTTTGAACACCTTCTCCACAGTTCTCTTTTAAGTCCACGTTGGTCACCTTGCAGACGCTCCAGGGCTCAGTAACCCATACGTACTGTCTGCAGTCACTGTGGCAGGGGACTACCTCATATACCTGGAATCCACATCAAACATCAGTTTTGTTGCACACAAATAAAATAGACATGCAACAGTGATCATGCAAAAAAGATGAGTGCTCTTTTTGGTAATAATAACAAACGTAAACTTGCTGATTTAGAGGCTGTAGTAATAATACAGATAAAATACTTGATAGAAAACTATAGAAATAACAAAAAGTCAGAAGCTAAGACACCTAATGACAGATTTCCTGGTTTTCTCTGCCACTGAGCCCATGCTATGCCATTTCCACCAATAACATCAACCCAACTAACATGAAATCTGTAACCAGGCTATCTCACAAGTATACATTTTAGAAAAACGCTGCTAAAACTCTGATAAAACTTTACTTCTACCCTTCACATCTCTCCTTAACTATTCCATCCCATCTCACTGTTATTCGTTGTGGGGGCTTTATATTTCTAAAGAAGGGTGAGCTCAAGGTAAATTATACCAATATATACTGATTCACTTTATTTTTAATTGTGTATACTTAAAATCACTCTAATATATTCTTGCGCCAACATTAGTACTATGTTTATATTTGAATACAGACTTGAAATAGTATCTCAAATACTTTATACAATGTTCCATATATTTCCTCAAACATAGATTACAAAAAATGGACAGACAATGTAAATTTTGAAGCACAATCAGGAAGCACAAGTTAAGGTTATCTTTCTATTTTAGAAACTCTTACCTGAGCCTGAAGAAAGTATTTTCATGAACCCAAAAGAAAAACCAAAGATAAAAAGAAAGAATTATTAGAGTGAAGCATAGGTATTTTAATGGCATTCATTTAGCTTTTATTACAAACAATATTCTACAACTTCTGACAAGCAAAAGGCATCCAATTTTTCCTCTTGGATCTCCCTTGCTGTCATGAGGCATTTTTGCAAGAGGTTTGCCCTTAGAAGAAAATAAAAGTTCGTAAACCACAACTAGTGGGAAAAGACTATAATTTAGCTAGTCTTTTTTTCAGTCCCTAACACATGATAAAGCTGTTTCCCCTTTTTGCCTATAATGAGCATCAACTCTTCACACAGTAGGGAATCCAGATCCAGTTTCCCTCCAACAAGAGAAAATCCACAACGATTTTGGAGTGGATACTGGAGCTCTCTATTAATCAAAATTGCTCTGACAGCATTAAGTGCAATGTGTTCAGGGGAATAAAAGAAACTGGCAGTTCTTATCCATCCAAAGTTCCTAAGTCCTTTATTGAGCACCTTAATTATACATTGATCACTTAAAAGCCCATTGCCTCAAAATTTTCTTATACCAGCTAACTTCACATATCATTCTGGGTATCAAGACAGCACAACTAATATTTTTAGACAATCTAAGACATTGTCTTAAACAATAGACAATGTCCTTAGTTTCTTTTCAGCAACACTTCTTGGGTAGAAGAAGAGGGCTGATGGGTTGATAGTTTAGCAGTTAACCTGCAACAAATTACCATCAGTCGCAAAAAACAAAAGAAGAAATGATGCCTCGAACAGTGAATGTGTAGAGAGTCTGATAGAGCACTATGCAGCTGATCAGCCCATGCAAAAGACCAGCATGGTCAGCATATTTGGGCTTTCTTTAAAGTACATAAGCATTAACTCAGGCATAAAGATGGGTGATGTAAATGCATGTTAAGGAAGGTATTGGACTCAGTGCACAATTTGTAGTCACATGGGAAGTGGTACTTTATTTATTCTTGTCCAGGATTTCCAAAATCAGAACAGTGAAGCCTTAATTTGGGGAAATGTCTCTATATGTCTCACTCTGGTCAGCATAAGAAGAAATATATATACCTCACATATTCAACAGCCTTTCCAGTAACAGAAAACTTGGATATCTTGCCAGAAAGCCAAAGCCAAAGCAGAACTCTATATTGCATTGCATGTGTTTAGTGGTGTTCTCCTGACCCTACTGCCATTTTTGTAACGATGACTGTAGGCCATGACAGTTGGGTGGTGTAAGGATTGCATACCCACCTGCTGGATAAGTGGGTAAATAATGCCTGGAGCCAATGAAGAGAGGGATGTCCTCATTTTCTCTAATAGTCCCAGATTAGCCTCTTAATTTGAAATCCTCTGAAGTCCATTGACATGATTTTATAATAAACCTAACTCTATTATTGCTGTAATTATGCAGTCTTTTAGCCTAATGAAGTGGGTACTGAGCAAGCTTCACAGAGTTAGAGTGTGGTTTGGGAGTCATCCTGGCATGCATGGCCCAGGAGGAAAGACAATCAGTGAGACATCTAGCATTCCCTGTGTTCGGTCCCCCTCCAAAATACAGTCATACATGTCAGCCCTGAAAGATGTTGAGCAACTTGCTCTTAAAACTTGACTGATGTCTTAGGCATTTTGTTTCAATGTTTCACTAGACTTACCGTTAGAAAGTTTTCCCAAGGCTTAACACAAATCTGCTTGCAGCGGTCTAAGCCTACTGCTTTTTATCCTATCCATGATGGCGATGGAAAATGGATTATTTCCTCCTTCTTTTCAACAGTCTTTTATGTACATGCTAGCTGGCTGCCAGCATCCTCCCTCCCATCTTCTCTTCCATAGGCTAGACAACACATTGCAGTCTTTCCTCAGTGTCCATAATTCCTAGATCTCCTACAAAATCCTTTGTACATCATCTTCCACATACTTGTGGGCACCAAAGACTCAGTCTAAACATTGTGCTTTGTATGTATGCAAATAAGCATTTTACATATGTAAGTATTAAATACATAAATAAAACAAATTACACTTAATAATTGAAATAAATATTCTGAAGAGTCATCAGTTTTCCAGCTGCATGAATGGTGGATTACATTTCGATTAAATAATTAACTCAAAATTAGAATGCAGGTGTATTCCCTGCATGTTTCTGAATTGACAGTGAATGTATTTAAAATTGAAAGATACAGCCTCTATATTCTTCGACATTCTTGTCCTATCTATAGAGCTCCCTTCTCGTGAAAGTACTATATTTCAATTTTATTTTTACAATAATTACATTTTGAATCATCTGTTATTATTTGGCAAGTACCATGTAATATTACAATAAATCAAACTCGAGTCAAAGTACCAGTAGAGGGCAATCGTGTTGCGCATAAGTGTCTAACAGATCTCTAGCAAAATAACCTTTGATGCAGAAAAATGCAAGCCAATTATGTACTGCATGAATATTAAAGAAGGAAAAAGACTTCTGTATAGACTATAATTTGCTCCTATTGAAACACATTCCTCCTAATTTAAAGCATATTTACATGCTGACCCAAATCCAGCAGCCCTCATTCTATTTTTTATTTTGTTAAAGTAGATCACAAACTTAGTTTATTAGCTGCAGTTTAACACTTATTATTTTCTAAATTAGAACTAATTACTTCCCTAAAGTAGAAAATTAGATCAACAAGCCGTTTCACTCTGTGCTAGCAAAATGTCAATAGGATAATATTAAGTACATGCCTTTTTATTCAAATGCAAATTGACAGCACTTTTTTTTTTCATTCTCTGAATATTTACAGAGAAAACCATGTGGCTGTTTAACATGCCTCTGCAGACTAAATTAAATTCAACAGTAATATGAATATAAATCAACTCTGGAGAACATAAGTTAATTGACAAGGAAGGTTTTTCTTTCTAAAACTCTTGAAGCAAACAGGAGCAAACAAGCTTCAGGGATTTGACTTGGACTAGTCCTAAACTTGGTCCCAAAAACTAAATGCTCATTAGTGGTCAAAGCACTCCCAGTGTGCTCTTGGATCACATTTTCTGGCTTAGTTTCACTTGAAGAGGGTCCAGACTGTGCACTCAGACTGCTCTGTACTGGAAAATCAAGTGTGGTTAGTGGGACAACGGGGAGATGGACTTCAGAAGTGCATTCCTGACTGGAACTGCAGTGCCAGGGCAAGTGTACACAGAAGGTTAAGTTCCAGCTTGACTAAAACCCGCTGAGGGGCACTGGGATGATACTGTGTGAGTGTTTGAGATCTAAGATGGTCAGTGAATGACACTAAGAATCTTACTAGTTTGAGCATCTGTAATGAGATCTTTTACCCATTTTAAGAGGTCTTCAGAAATGTGGTCTTCACAATCTGCATGTAAGAATGTTGTCTCCAATCTGCAGTTCAGATAATGTGCTAAATTCTTGCAGATGAGGAAGTAACGAAGGCAGATCCTATGCTGACTGAAGAAATCTAAGCCAACAGATACTCCTTCTACCTGCATCTGCACCTTATGTTGTATAGTTTTTCTACATCAACAAACCATACAGCTGAAAGTGTTATCTGAGATATGGAAAAAGCTATATCAATAATGCAAATATAAATCAAATTACCTGATTGACATGATCTAGCTTTGGACAGGGTCTTCCACCATTGTACGGTTTTTCACGGAGCCATTTAGAACGAACCTTTACCCCACTCCCACAGGATTTACTACAGCGAGACCAGTTGGACCACTCACTGAGCTTGCAGTCTGAGGGACATGGAATAATACAGGCTTCCTCAATATAACCTGTGTGAGTGGAAAAGAAAGAGAAATCTCTTCAGCATGTCACTCTGCCACTTCTCCCTGAAGCCCTCGTCTACTTCATTTAGATTGTCCAAAGTTTGACTTGACAGGATTGTGTGAATAGAGAGATCTTTCCATCATTAGGGCTAAATTAAATTCTGCAGAAAATTGACACATATAGCTGGAGACTATGCTAGAGTAGCAGCTGAGCATCCTCACTGCTATCTGATTAGGATTCACACTCACCAGGTTTCAGCATTCAAACTTTCTGACAGCTACAGCATAATTGACACTAACCCATCTCTTTGTTGCATCATTCTTACACTGCAAAAACAATTTTTTTTTTTTTTAAGGAAAAAAGTTTAATTAAAAACCTCTCCATAATTGTATCAATTAATTCAATTGCAGTTATACATCAAAAATCCAACTGAATCAAAAGATATGCATCTCACCAGCCTGGAGGAAGGGAACTTAACACTTTGTGACCTTTCTAAGGCTAGAAAGAGAGAGTGGTCTGCCACATTAATGATCTGCCGATTAACAACCATCTGCCCCCAGTAGCACACTGAATAATTGCACTGAATGGAAAAGCAGATGTTTGGTTTGGATAAGTCATCAGTCCTGAGAGGTTGGAAAGGGGTATAACATGGTCTGCAGGGAGTAACACGAGGCCTCAATTCACTGAATAAGTGAAAATGTCTTTCTTTCAAAAGCAACATATGCCATAGCTCTACAACATGTGTCATTTATGCCAATATTTACAGCAGAAGCTATAAAACCTCAAATAAAAATCTGGTCTTTACTGCATTTTTACAACCATACCCTAAACCTGTATGAACTCTCCTCTCTCCTTTCCTGTGTCAGATCTGCAATGTATTTACTGTTGGCAAATGTTCACTTTAAAGAAACATCAGTGCATTTGAAAGTGAATTAAAACGTGCGATGAACACAGTTGCAAAATAAACACATACTTGGGTAAGATCATTCTCAAATGACTGGCACAGTTTGCTAGGCATGGTTTCAAATGTTTCTCACACATCTTGAATTTCTTTTAGTTTGAAAGCAATCACTGTCATTTCCTTCAGAGTTGATGTTAGCAGCTTTATGTTTTTAATCTATACTTTCTAAGTAAAGCTATTCGGACTCTTCTAAAAGCAACCAATACAAAACAATCACAAGCTGTGTAAAGAATAAAAACACCTAAAAGATTTCAATTCTATATACCCATTTCTAATTACTTCCATTAATTTGTTTTAGATATAAAGAACAGAAGGGCTTGGGTTTTTTTAAATATACAGTAACATTCAGAATATTTTATGGTCAAATTCAGGTGATGATTTTATCCTATATAGCTTTCCTCTGTTTGGAAGTGTTACACAAAGTGTTAACTAAATACACAGAGCACATCCTGAATTTGAGCACTGTGGAATTACTGTTCACAAAATATACCTTCCTTAAAATGGCTAGAACGTTATTAGCTTGAATTACAAGCATGTTTATTCAGTGTCTCTCGCCATTTGATTGATCAGCTCGGTGATATTGTATGAAAGGTACACTATGTTAGACAAAATATATTTTTGAAGATCATATCACTGCACATCAGAGATGGTGACATAGATTGCCCTGCAGTAGTAAATGCAGAATTGATTACATTTCACCTTACCTGACATCTCTGAGTGAATCTTAGAAATCAGATACACCCTGTCTCAGGGCCCCATCCTACATTGAACTTTGATTGCATAAATATCAAACTCTGTATCTTCACCAGAAATGAGCTTTTAACAAGCCTTCTTAGGTGCTGTACAAGACCATATACTCATACAGTTAAGAAACTACTGAATGAAAATGGACAATAGGAAAAAAGTTAAAAGAAACAATTCCCTCTGAGCAATAAGTGTTTAGTGATATTTATTGTCTGATAGAACTAAGTGAAAATCCTACTGCTCTTTATGAATTTTCTTGAGATTCTGAAATGCTGTCTTTATTTCCAGTATAACTTCTATGTAATTTTTTTCTGGAGAAACCTTTCGATTGTAACACAGTTATGCCATTTAACATTTGTTAAATCTGCCTCTGTAATTAATGTCTTGAAGAAACACATTCAAGTTGCTTTAAATATATTGTAAATCCTTAAGTAGGTAACTTTAACTGGTACAGGCTGCTTCAGGAAGACTTTATTTTAAAGACTTCCATAAACCTCTGAGCTATTTTAAATTTGTCTTAACTAATCTGAAAGGGATCTTCCCAATCTGCCCCAGTCATAGAAAAAGATCTTCTCCAGGATATCATGATATTTGGGACTTGGATAACTATAGCATGGGAATACTTCAGAGCCTACCAAAAGGAGCCTGTGTGGAATATACTACACTAAAATGATTGACAAATTAGAAACTATTTTGCTTTATTTCCCTTCAGCTCATCCAAACAAAGACAATAAAGATTTTTTTTGAGATAATCAGAATGCTAGCCAAAAAGTTTAACAAGATTTTTAGAATCTTGCAGACAGACGCGGTATCAAATACATTATACTATACGCAAGTGCCAGGTAACATTTTAATTACACTGAGCTGTACTTCAAATGATTCTATAAAATATCAAATGAAACCATACCACTACAGCAATCTTTTTTCACATTATCGATGAAATATCCATATTGAAGTCAGCCACTAAAGCTGCTTTACTACAGAATGCCAGAAAAGCATCATCTTACAGGTAGAGTGTCTTAGTAAGAGTTGTAACGTGGAAAACCACAAGCTTGCTTATATGTTAAAGCATATTGGAGAGGATGCAGTGTGCCAGCTGACATTTCCTACCTACTTTATAATGAAAAAATACTGAACTGCAATCTTATACTGGGTCCTTAACCCTACAAGCTTCATGGAATAGCTTCAGCTCACCATATTGCTCTTTCTTATGCCATCTCGAGGATGGCCTGTGACGCTCTCTTCCCCCTCACTCCTATTTCCTCAGAAAATGTGTCATCACCCAGCTGAACAAGAAGAATGGAAAAGACACATGAAGAAGAGAAGAGAACAAGAATGGAGTCAATCATTGAAGGCATAAAATGAAGCTCTACAACGTAGGAAGGGTTGGAGCTACTGGAAATGTCGAATATTTTTGGAGAGCAGAGAAAAAAACACTTCTTATTATGCAAGATGCAAGACAAGCATAAAAAAATCCTAACCACTGGTACACTAAGAAGACTGGATAAAAAATAGGTCAAGGACATGAACTGAATAAAGGGATCCAGAAAAGAGTTTCACAGGTTCCAAGCCTTCTCCAAACAGAAGGAAAAGAAAATAAATGAGTGGCATTACTTTTCATGGCAAAGATTCAGAAGTCAAAAGAACAGAGGAGACAAACAACAAAAGCGAGACTGAGGGGGAATACAGGAAAAGATAAGCAAAAAAAGGGAGAGGGAAGAGGAAAATAAATGGCTCAGAATACAGAGCAAGAGAATTGTAAAGACATACTGTACAGGGATAGAAACAGAGAAAGAACCTATTCTGGTAACTTCTGACCAGACGGTGAAATGCAATGAAGAATGTTTCCACAAATAAAAACAGAGGACAAAGGGAAGAAATAAAAAAAACCCCTGTGGCCTCTGATTTGCATTCTATAGGTAATTAGCGTGTAGAATGAAAATGGCCCTGCTATATCTGACATTTAAAAGTTTTTGGCATATTCATCCCTTGGCATACTCTTTTCCTCTCAGGTGCCTCACTATTTTGCTCAGCAGACAATTTAGCATTTAGCTGTGCCACCGGACTCCCTCAGAACCCAGGCAGAAGCAGACTTCAAATTGCTTGCAGATATTTCTCTAGCCAAGAAAGAGGACTGGATTAAAACAAAACAAAACAAAACAAAACAAAACAAAACAAAACTTGTTGTAAATGGCTTGTCCCACTACATTTACTACCCATCTAATCGTATTTCTCAGAAAAACCTTCTCTGAAGCATGCCATCACCCTAGATGCCTTTTTGTCTGTATGATGTCAACATATCTTTTAGGGTGACTAAGAATGATAATCTCCAGAAGTTCATAGCAGTCACCCCTCAAATCCAAGAAAATAGATATTCAGGAACTTTGAAAAGTTTATACTCCTTTTTTTTGTTGTTGTTTTCGTTAAATTTCAGATGCTTGTATTTGTAAAATTTGTCCATGTTGTAAAAAATTTAGCAAGTGAGAAGAAAGGATACTATGATACATAGAAAACATAGAAACACAGAAACCAGAAATATTACATGCAAATGGGACTGGTGATGCAGATGCATAGTTTCTGACATGAAAAGGACGTGAATGAGCCATTTTTCAATTTTCAGTCTTGTTTCGACTCTGATCTAATCATCCTTGAAAGGGTGCCCCTTGTGTTAGACACTGTAAGTCGAACTGTTTAAAGAAACAGTCCTCTAATGTGTGGGTGTCTGTATGGTGGAATATCACACAGTTCTATAGCACAGACAGGTTGTGTAACAAAATTGCAGCAAATGGCACACTAGAACCTTGAGGTTTAAAGAACAAGTGAGAAATTACCAAGGTAGAAATACAGTCGATGCAGAGAGGAGAGAATGAGAGCAGTGAAGTGGCTTATGAAGAAGAGCTGAGGAAAAGAGTGTGAAGGTGAGGGAGGGACAGCGAAATAGAAGAGCAATACTGTAAAAGTTGAAAATATGTTCTCTGGACATTAGCAGTTCATGTTCTGCCTGCTGTTTCTCCTCCTGACTAAAGTCTTTCACTTTCCTGCAGGTCCTCCTTCTCCCAACAACATCTGAGGTATGTTGGAGAGAAGAGACCTTGGGGTACTGTGGTACAGAACATCGGCCCTGCATGGTCCAGAAGGGTATTGGAAAGAGATGCCCATCTCTTAAGGCCTATTCCTTTTCCCAGTGCAGTCATTTCTCAATTATTTCAGCTCCCATCAGCTGAACTTCACAAGGCTGTGAAATGTGCAGTTGTCTACTGTGAGTGGAACATGGCTATTATATCATTAAAGATTTATTAC